GGTAGCCTCGAGAGCTACCGTGGTAATTGACTTCACCTTTCTTGGCTTGGTTTATCATTTCTAAATTACTAGCGGTGTTCGGGATTTGATTATCATTTATTGTTTTGGGAATTGTGTTGGGAAGGATTATTGTGCTATCTCGTTTACGATATCGACCTTGATTAGTGCTTGCGATTTTGGACTATATTATTGTTTTTGCCTTGGATATTCTTGTTGTGTGGGGTTGGAACACGCTTTGCCTGGCGTGTTCAAAGTGCTTTTGTAGGTACTCTCTCGAATTGTTCCGACTACTCGCTTTATCATGGGTAAGAGAAAGGTCGCTCCTGCTCCGAAGAAAACCGCTCCGAAAAAAGCATCAAAGGGCAAAGAGGTAGTCGTTGCGGCATCGGGGTCGGAATCCGAAAGCGAAAGAGAGAGGTCCCCTCCTCCGATGAATGTTTACGATCATAGTGTGGGGTTGCCATTCAAGGTCCAAACCGCTACCGAGAGAGAAATTTTCACGAAACTCCAAAAGGCCCGCGTCCGACGGCCCAAAGTGATGGACTTCGATTTAAATGCAAAGCTCGGCATCAAAGACGACATTATCAAATATCTCAAGGTCCTTGGATTGTTAAAGTATGCCGAGATGAATCATAGTGCTTATACGAATGAGGTCTAGAGTTCTACACGTTCTTTCAACTTGTGGACAACCGGGAAGTCGTCACATGCCGATTAGGCGGGGAGCCCCGCCGGATAGATGCGGCCATCATGAAACAAGCATTAGGATTTACGGGTGTAGGTTTAGAGGTGCCACCGACGGGTTTCGATGTCAATGAAGCGTGGCGCGAATTATCGGGACTCCCTTTTAAGCGGAACAGTGAGTTGTTTACGGGGCACATTCGGGACCATGCTCTATGTGTAGTTCAAAAATTCATATCCTATAATGTGTTTGGGAAGAAAGAGGCCTCAAAAGTGAATAAGAGTGAAATCTTCATGCTACATTGTGCCCTCCACAACAAGCGAGTGAATCCCGTCCAATACATTTGGAGTTCTATTGATCAAATTAAGTGTGCCAAACGGTTCTATCCTACATTCGGCACCCTTATCTCGGCGTTGGCCTTACATTTCGGATTTGGCATTCGACGAGGTGGCGGCCCGACCAATTGGATCCACGGAGCTCAAGGCGAGCCAAATAATACTAAATGAGACAACCTTGTGCCCCCACGCGGATCGGAGGTGCGTGCAAACGTATTTTGACAACACGGGGAAGAAAGGACAAGTTCCCGGGACTACCGGCCACCGGCCGTCTATTGACCTTCCCCCATATGAGCACCCGATGACCGCCGTGACGAAGACGCTTGGTGAGCTCCGAATTTTTATGACCAATGAGTTTGCTCGGTTGGGGACCCGGATGGATGATCATATGAGTGATGTGAAGGCTCGGTTGCATTCCATGGATGGCCGTATTACCGCACTTGATGCTCGGGTCTCTACTTACATTGATTCTCGGACCGTTGATCCCACTATTCTCCCGATTCCCGTTGACTCTACTATTATCCCGATTGCTCATGTTGTAGATCCCGACACTTCTCTCCCGACTTTGCATGCCGAAGAGCCCGGCTCTTCT